AGTTTCGCGCGAAAATAACAACAGAGTGTTGCCTTTCTCAAGTACTGCTAACCTCTTAAATGTTAACAAATGAAACACCGATACGAACAATGACAGCACAAAAAATTTGAAAACGCACGTCGCAGAAAATGATCGTTAAGATACAATAGGAATTGATTTCAATTTGATACTGTTTATTAAAAAATACCGAAGATCAGTCACGTTAACTCTCAGTCATGGTTATCTGCCCTGATTATCATCGCAATTTATGATATACTTGTATATTCACAAAAGTAGGCTTGTAAGTTTATTGTACTGTGCTTGAACAAGGCAGATAAGGAAACTTAATTTTCATTATAAATTAATGCTATAAACTAACACCATATTCATATTTTCTTGCTATATTTTCGTAAGTCTTGGAATGAAAGTTACGAGCACTTTCCAGATTTAACTAGTTTGAGCCTTTTAGTCAAACTTCTCATCTCTGTGGAAACTAAGTTACAGAAACAGAGCATCCAGCGGCAGCTTTCGCGCTTAATTTCAGCTTTGCTACTATTGTCTTCTAAAGGTAGCAAACTTTGAACCCTAGAATACTCTACAATGGTGTATTAATGCACCTTTAACACACACTCCATCGAAGCCCAAAATTAAGCATTAAGCAACCCGGAAAACCGTGACATTGCATGAGCCATGCATTCCTCAAACATAAATAATCGGTCATTGTATTATGCTATAGTTTTTGTTAAGTTCCTGTACAGTTCTACTGTTGCTCCGTGCCTTTTTTAACCTGTAAAAATATATCCGCAAAAATTTCCCGCTAACGGAAAATAAAAATTGTACGAAACTGCAAACTTCTTTGTAACTTTAGATTCATCTTGCAAGTCTGCATGTGCCCAGAGCAGATGTGAAATTCACGTGAGATAGGATCCGGTTTTGCATATTGTCTGATCCGATTTGCACCTTTTGCTTTCCTTGGATTAGACCTGCATGCGTTGAAGTCTCAAGCTGCTTTATTTTGTAATATGTGTAGCCTTGCCGAAGAAGCATGAGATTTAGGACTATGTTGATAATATCGATTGGAATATTGTTTTCATTTCGGACGGCATTGACATTGCTGTGAAACGTAATTATTTTAACGGATCAGTCATTCGTTGCGCGTTAGTGGACATATTTGTACGTGTTTCTTCGTCAACGGCAGCGCGAGTACATTTGTACCACCAATAAGCCTTAGACAAGTAATATATAATCATTTTCCATGTACACATTACTATTGTCATAATTTACTTGTTTTACTGCTGCTAAAAGAAATCTTTCCCTTCATTGAAATCAGATGTTGACCTAAAACTTTGCGAATTTATCACTCATTTAGAAATATAAAAAGAATTATCACTCTTGTGAAATACTGGTTTACGTCGGAAAATTTTAATTTATGAAACTTTCTACAAAATTTGGATGTTTCTTCTACATCTGACAAAAGTGGTTACCCACAGGTAAGCAATACTAAAGACAGCCATGCCAAAATGCATTATTGCTCCTCATATAAATTTTTTGCGCTTATTAGCGCATTCCCGGGAATTAATTTGTGACGTTGCTGCGCAAGGATATAGACTCATGGCTCCTGCGTTCACGAACTGATGCGGGCATAGCGAAGAATCTCTGAAGCTATGATCTGTTTGACTGACCCCATAAGAAAAAGATGGTGGTACCATTATTCTTTCAATCTTGGCTTAGTGCTACGCAGTTATCAATATCTGAACAAGGTTATTTACGTGCAGAGGTTCTTCAATGCGATAGAACCACGTTGAGAGATTACAGTAGATAATCATTACACGTCATCCCCGTCACCAGAATTTGCCTTTTTTTCGTTCTGACCCTGAAGACAAATCAGATATATGTTTGAAGTTCTGTGCATAACATCACTATGCTGTGTCACTTAGATCAACCATGTTTCAGTGAAAGAATTTTGCGCCAGAAAATACAATTATTTTTAGATACCATAGAAAAAGGTAAACAATAAAATGCGCTGCGCGATGCTAACCAAAGCTTTCAATCATTTTCTAGAAGGCTTCTTAAAGCGAACACCCCTACGTCAATGCGCCCGCAAACTTTCTTCCACTTTCAATACGTAGACGTTTCGCAGGATCAGTTGGTGTTGTTTTTTCATCACCATCTAAGGTTCGCAGAGCTTAAACTGGAGAAATTCAAATTTATTCTCTGATTGCATGTTCGCAGCGTTTAGACACCAGCGTTTGCTCTCAACTGGTAATTTTGCTGGCGCCTGTTCTGAAACAATTTTCGGACTGCTTACAAAACAACCGCTGACGCTCTTGCTCGCTGAAATTATTCGTACTGAGCATTATCAACTCATGATATAACTGTTTTGTAAAGAATTTCCGTAGGGAGTCGATGAGACAATATAGCGGCGTCTGTCGGTTAAAGCTTTCGTTCACTTCGATAACATTGTGTGAAGCAGCATATTTCAAATCTTAAAACAAATAAATGCAAATTGGTCGTATTAGCTGTTCCTAAGCTGTATAGTTGGAGGACAGTAGCCATGCTAGCAGAGAGCAGAGAGTACCCAGCTATAATCAATGCAACAAACATGATGCAGTAAACTTTACTGAGCAGACAAAAGCACGAAACCGAAGCGTAACAGCAATCTTTGACTACCGAAACTGAAGCACATATAGTAAAACTGGTAAGCTTAAACTGCAAGTATCGGTTTCAAAGCTACGATAAACACATTACGAAATTTTCTCCAGCACTACTGCTTTGGGAGACAAGACGTCACTTTTTAGAAATGGCCATGTAGATCGAAACACGCCATTGAAACCACTGATGACTTTTGCTACTCTGTGAGTTTCTCGAAAGGCTTTAGCGCTGGTTAACACGTCCTGATAATCGCCGATCAAGAGGTAATCGAATGTTGCCATGTCGCGCAGTTGATATATATTTTCACTTTTGTTATACCTAAGATGCAAAGCAAGTGGCAATTAATCTATACAGTGGTAACCGAAGTACGGAGAGAAATAAAGTATTCATTATAGCGCTCAGCTACTTTACGTGGCAAAGATTTGTCTTCAGGCTTTATGCACAAGAACATGCTGAAATTATTAGCCAACAGGTGCAGAATCTGAGCCATGTGGAGTGTTGTTTGCCGTTATATACTGAAATGCACTTTGAAGAACCGTTTAAAGCGTTCTGTCTTTGAGGTTTCAGCAGCAGTTCAGGATTACATCAAAAAAACCTTGAGGCAGAGCTGCTAACAACTAGCAGCATGTCCTTTGCTACAAGAGCCAACAAATCCTGTCGATAAAATTTCATCACAATCAGGCACATCACAAGCCTGGACAACTTTGCGCTACAGACGATGTCAGCTTAGATAACGAGACAACATCACAGCAAGTTCTACGTGAAGCACTATGAGTGACCTTCTACTACATGACGTATGAACATACACGTGTCGGCTTGCCTTCCAATATGCTAATCAAGCTTGTTATTCAGTTAAGATTAAAACTTTGAATTCGCCACGGTTTGGAAAGAGTAAGTTCGTTTCACAGCACAACAAATTATGCTCAACGCGTATATGAGACTAACGAAACTACAGGCGTGGATAAAGGTCATAATTACGCTGTGTTAGAGGACAGAGTTTCCCCAAATACTGACGAATAAAAGGATAGTAAGTTACTTAGAGAGTTGCCTAAATTCGTTCAGCAGTTCAGTTTACTGCCAATGGCGCATGTGATTGTTGTCGTGAAATTGCATGGCCATCGCAGGGACGAAAATAATAGAACTACTAGCCAAGTGGTAGATAAAAAAGAACAGAATTTATGATTAGAAGTGGCATGGCTGAAAACCAGGTGCTGTAGGTAAGATAGCGTAGTAGAATATAGTGATTATAGCCGAAAAGAGCTGCCTGACGAACAACAGTAAAATTAAAATCAGCCAGTGTCGCAGCGTAAAGAAAACAGGGATATTTCTCACGTAGTTTTAGTATGCACACAAGTCATGTTGCTGAGGGACTCTGTAAACGGTCTACTGATATTCACTTAAAGCACGTGCAACATGATTATGGGATTGAAGCATCTTTGCATACAAAACTGACAAATGGTTATGGAACTGACGCACTGGACTGGGATAAGCGAAGTTCAGCAAGTTTCACGAAATACGCAAAGGTTGAACCAAAAAATGCAATAAAGTTCCTCTTCTCAGAAGCAGGAGCATATTCAGTCTGGAAACATTTGCGGTTCTGAAACGTCATAATGTTCATCTAGAGATAACGAAGCAACGATGTCTGCGACGCATCCACTAAGTGTGACGGAGTAATCGGGACATGAACGCACATTTGATGACTACCAAAAGTTTTGGTAAACTGTCAGAAATCAGAGACACGATGTCATTCCTGAAGAGCAAAACGAGACACTGCGCAAAGCTTTCTATTCGAGAAAATGTATGCTCTCGCTACAGACACATGAAGCAAAATGCAAAAAAATCTCAGAGAGGAAGAGCTATTAATGCGCGAAATACGGTCATTGCCAGAGAAAGGAAAAACGTCTGAAATGACCTGATACAGATTCAATCAAGCCAAAAAATGTTCATCCTGTGCAGTGTAGATGGTGTAGACGATGCTGACAACTACAATCCGTGCTTTTCGCAACGACTACAACAGTTAATTAACCATGTACGAATGCAGAATAGTATTTAAAAATTAACCATGAAGAATGTACTTTACACGCACAATATTCGAACCGTGCGTTTTTAGGCAAGTTTCAGCGCATTGTGAAATGATATACGCAAGTAAACGTTTTCTTTGGAACCGTCCTCCAATATACGATGCAGGTTCCGAGTGTGGCAACGTACACAGCTCGATCTTCACTAAATGACTTCTTGAGCAACCGATGTTCCACTGTTTTTCAAACTATTACCTTTGAAAATGCTCCTGCGGCAAGAGAGTAGAATGTCATCGTTACAGCCTTTTACTTGGCTATTTTGCATAACCAAATTTTAAAAAACTGTGGATACTACCTTCTTGGCAGGTATCTGCGTAGAAGTTGTTCATGAACACTGAACAGAATAACTGCTTTCACAGAGTACATGAGAAGCGAGATGATCGATGAGAAACAATTTATGCAGGTTTCCTAAGCTCACATTTAGCTCCTGCAGAATACCTGAGTACTCCCTTTCAATTTGTAATGAGCGTCATCCGTCAGTAATGAGCTAAGATAACTGATATGGTTAGCTTTAACTCTCATGCTACAATAAAAATAAAGGCCAGTTTGCATTGCCAGTTCAGTTTTCTTCATTGTACTGAACTTCACTGCCCATTAATTCATTAACTCATGAGCCTAACATTGCTGTAATGGTCTGTCCGCAGTTTTAAACCACATTCAACATCACCTGAGAGAACAGTTTATGTAGCAGGTCGGCAGCGAATTCTCCATCTCACGAATAAAGTAAAACAATATGCTCTTTCTAAAGAGCAAACGAAAGCATGCGCAATTTGATGCCATCTGTCCAGCACCTGTGTGACCCTCATGCCGTCCGTCACGCTCACTTCTATCCATTTCCATGTCTTCATGTCGCCTCAGCTTTCTCGATTATATCCTTTTTCCGTGTCACATCGAGAACAGGAACATAAGGCAAAGCACTAGCACACTGGTTACGTCATTAAAAAGGAAAGTGGCAACTACTGCAACAAAAACTACAGTTACAAAACTATGGCCGTGGCTAAAACCAAGGGAATGCCGGAAGAAAATCATGAAAAGGACAGAACGATCACCTTTCCTACAGGCCAGGGATATCTCACAAAACTGAAAAAGGCTAAATGGCACTGTGCATATTGCTGTTTACCCTCTAATCAGATGATGTTCCATTTTACTGGCACTATGATGAGTGCCACATCGGATTTTGCTTGCCGTTTAGAAAATGCACTTTTGCATGCAAATCAATTTACATTTAGTCGAGTTCAGTATTCCACAAAGGTTAAGGTAGAACTTCTTACTGCCATTTGTCGTTCTGCTGCAGAAACCTGGATACGCCGGTCTCAGCGCAGTAGACATCAATATGGATCTTCACCAGATTGTTAAACCGCTGTCTGGCTGACGGCAAAAAATGCAACTCTCGCAAAGCCGATCCTCCTGGATAGTTGTGGTATGATGCGAACAGAAAACACAGGGTCATCAAGCAATTGACAATCAGAGCGAGGAACAGAACGGCTTTATGCACGGTCATTGTTCTTGGTGATCGATACATCCTGAAAAAAGGGTTCACTACCGACAAATCAGTCAGCGAGTCCGTTTGCGCAAACGTACCACAGCGCCGAAGCAGCGCAAGCACAAGCTAGATTGAAAATCGGCACCGTATAAATAATGAAACGTAGTTCCTTGTGAGGCAGAAAAGAATACAAGGAAACGAAAACGACTGCGGCGAGCACCAACTTCAGTAGACTTCTGTTAATCCACAATCCTAATGGCACAAACAAGACCAGAACGCCTAAACTTCGCGGCAAAGCAGAATAAAAGTACCACAGGAATGGCATCGTCTTAACTGACGCTGCTTAAAATTTGTGAAACAACAGACAACTGAAACATACTCCCCATATCTTGCTCTTGTTCAGCACCACATTGTACCACCAAACTTCACCTTCCGGCCACAAACATCGCTCCCAGAAAAATGAATCGATTACCACTGATAAACCTGAAAGATTATAATCTTCTTATAACGAATCATAAAAATGGCCTGAGAGGCGTCATTTTCCTACTGTGCAACTATTAATAATGCGCTTACTAACATACACGTGCCGCACAACCTAATAATTCAGTGTTTTCAACAAGTCATAAGAATATTAACTCCCGAAACACATTGCATCATTGCTGATGAACAAGGTATTGATTCATCAAAACAAATCATGTGATGCATCTAAAACTGCAGGTGTCAAAACAACATGGAGTCAAGGACGGCTAAAATTGGTCTTATGCATCTAAGAGGGCTGTGCAATACACCTTGAACGCCAGTGATGTAACTAGTAATAATAACATTAAAACAACTACAATGAAGACTGAAACAGCGTTAAAATGCGCATATCCTTCAAACCTGTTCCGCACAGCAATTCTGTCAACTGACCAATTATCCACAATGCGGAAATGCTGAGCCAAGTTAATCAGACACGAATTCATGGACAAGATGATTAAAATACTTCGGCTGATTATGAAAAAATTGAGTAAATGCGAAGCCACGGTAAGAAACTTTAAAAATGCAATAATAATAATAATACAGCACATTATTGACTATTTCACCCATTAACACAATGTCATATAAATGATTCACTCAAAAGACACATCGATAGTGAAGTCTGCATCGGCACAGAATACGATTCGCAGGAAAGATTCTTGACGCTCAGACTTTTATCAGAACGATGCCTGACTCCATGTCACATGTAGGGATAAGATACATCATTTATCCGGATTTGCTGTTGATTCAGGATAAGCGAAAAGCATATTGCATCATGTCAAAGAGTCGTACAGCGATCGTTATATAGGTATCGCGTCTGTGTTTTGATAACTGAACACAAAAAAACCGAAATACTATGAACAAGATAAACTTACTAACCTATGCAAAACAAGGCAGCCAGTACGCCAACCTTCAACGCCCGAAAAACTGACAACTGTCTGGAGATGATTTCGAACAGAAACAACGGAGTAAACAGAAGCACTAATTCACTTCGAAATATAAAAACAGCGGTAGCAGCAGCAAAGATGCTCGAATCGTATTTTCGTCGAAGAAGCGCCGAAAGGGATTCCAGTACTGAAAAAATAGCAAAATGCTTGCGAAGATGACTGAAAACGTAGAAGCTGATACTGGTGGTCGATATGACTGAATTCGACCGAAATGACCTTGCTAAGAGATGAACTTTAGCATAAACTTGGCACTTCACAGCTCCAACTGAAGGTTGCAGGTTTATGACTGTTACTTAATTCGTTAATGACAAAAAATGCGAACATTGCGGACGAAACCTCTACAGAAAAAAGGCACCGACACTGAGCTTCAGCAAAATTTGCCTCTTTCAAACAAATTTTTAAACGTAAAGGGAAACATTTAATGGTTTTGACATTTTCTGATTTCCATCGAAAGAAAGCAAAAACCCATCAATTTCTTTTATATGGTCAATACTGAAGAGCTGCATTAACGTCTCTAGGCTAAGTCATATCTAAATTCCGGTCATGCCAAAACTTTGCTAAGCATGAATGGAGATATCAACCAATATTTTTAGCTAAGTAGCACAGTAAGACAAGACCCGATTCAACAAATAATGCTGAAGATGAAGATTATCCTATAAAGTGTAAAGCTATGGACAGTGATGATGCATCGCGCTCATGCAAAAAAGCGCACTGTGACGCATAATTCTTCATATCATAGCATGCACAGCAAACGCATACGAATCCTTCGATTCAAATTCTGAACCTAAAGCCACAGAAAATGGTGGCCGTAAAAGAATAAAATGGAAAGAATAAAAGAAAGTTTACAACCGTTGGAAAGATGGACTTCCTTACATTTCAGTGATGAGGCCAATTGTGGTGTCCTTCTTCCATGATGTCAATGGTAATGGCTGATCTCCACTTCATACCATTAGCCAAGAGTCCCTCATTCTAAAGGAGAAAACAACAGCACTATGTGGAAAAACAGCGTGCAGTTTCGTCTGCTTCCCGCAGAGCCATTACTAATTTATCGACTTCAGAAGGAAGAAAAGTAAGTGGCTTCGACCTGGCGATCCATCGGATCTGAGTCTGGTGGGCGCACTACCGACTGAGCAACCCCGGTCAGAAGAATAAGGTGCATTCTTTACATGCTAAAGTTGTTTCTAAACTGAATGCAAAAAATCTGAAAATGGTTCCATGAATTGAACTTAAAATGTTCTCTGCAATGAGTAAAGAACAAACACAACAGAAATAATGAAAACTTCACTGAGTAAACAGACTGAATTCAAATTTTAAGCTGTTTTCTAATACATTGGCACGAAAGATAGGAAACAAGACAGAGCCGTTAACGAGCGAACAGCGAGCACTTACCTAAAACGAGCGCAAATGTATTGGGCAACGTGCGACTAGCATAAAACAAGAAGTGAAACTGCGTAACGGTGACGATGAACAGCCACCTGGTCACGGAAGGTCCGTAAAGATGTTCGACTGCGGTCGCATAGTTACGGAACGCTGCGCAAACCGTCAGCCCCAGCACCGAACGCACTAAATAAGTCGAGGTGCCGCAGTTCAGCAACAAACCAAAAAAGTACGAAACCAGAAAAACAGGGGTTCGCTGACTAACCTAGAATCAATGAATAGAATTTTGGAAGGCCAAGCGCGACGGTCAGCACGACGAAGGGGTAGGAGACGAGGCACAGTGCCAAAGCCCCGATAAAACTGCGAGGTACTACTCCCGGAAATTCGCGATGATCGTACTGAAACGACAAGATTACTAAAACTGTGAGAAGGCAAGGACGATATTCGGCTATGAAAACTAACCTCCGTGATGTTGGTCCCGTAGAACAGAAGGTCGTGCACCGCTTGGATGTTAAAGCTTTCTTCAACCTTTGTGCATGGACACAGGTAGACGTAGAGGCATGTCAACAACGATGCAAAAAGCCACGGTCCGTTTATACTTGATGGCATCTGCGACAAGGATAAAAACATGTGTAGGCATTTGCTAAGTTAAAATTCTAAACTCTCCATTAAACAACATAAAAACAAGACCAATGAGAAGCAAGAAGTCAAACAGTTTCGAACTTTATTAATAGTGCATTTCAACTTGCTCAAGAACTTTTTTTAGCCTTTCGATTGCTTCACTGGTTGCGGCACTTTCAGCTGTCAAAGTGATGATCTGTTGCTCCAGTTCAGGCGTCATAGAAAAACCTTTCAAACGATCAACCTTTCTTTTATTGTGAGCTAGGTGTTTCGTCAGCTTACTGACTTGTCGATTAAAACGTTCAGCCATCGCCGCTCTGTGAGCATTCTAAAAATTAGCATGATCAATATATTTTAACAAAGCAAAAGCAACACAAAAATATAATGAAGTTAAGCAAGAAGAAACTTATTCGTTTCAAAGGTGCAGCTAAAACTGGAAAGAAGCTGAAGGAAGCTTTAAAATATTCAGTTGCAGGCACGGTCACCAAAGGGCGACAAAAGAATGAAATCAACGGAACAGGTCAGCTTCGTGAAGTGTGGTGTTCGAAATAGTCTCAGAGCGATATTAAGCAATGAGCAATCCAAGGGATTGTTCGTTAAATGAAAAGCAGAAAGCCTGGATTAAATCTGAATTTCAGCGACCCCAAATGTCAATATCAACATTGGAACGGAAATCCGGGACACAATTATTTTTGGACAGCTGCTTCACTAAATCCACACATGCAAATTTACATGATTTGGAAAGGTAATCAGGAGTCTAAAGGAAAAATTCGCAAAACGAACCATCTTAGGAAAGTCGCATAAAAGGAGGCCAGGAACAGACAGAAGATTAAGCTGTTCAGCAGTATCTGGAACCGCAGTATCCAGAAATTCAATCTTTGGAACCTGTTTGACAGGTAAAACGCCAGAATTGTCGAAAGAAGCGCTTACAGGTTTTACGTGGAATCCCACCATTGCAGCACCGAAATACTACAAACTGAGCTGTGTGAAATATCTCGTTTAAATCAGTTCTTATTATACATGTGAGCGCAAAGCTATGCAAGAACAAAACGACTGTCAACTCGAGGTGCAATAAAACAGAGAAATCAAATGAACATACGCTGACGTTTACGAAAAATTGACAATCATCTGAGGAAAACCCGCACATCATATCGTCCCTGATATTTGGTGACTCCAAGCATCCCTCACTGCCGCTGCCACCCTCGACGATCGTGAAGTCGATGTTGCAATACTCTTTGAAGAACTCCGAAAACATTTCCAGTGCCGACGCATACATACCGTTGCAACGGGCGATTCCTATACAGCAGATACACCCATCAGCGAACACGGAATAAAGAACAAATGTACGAAAACAAACCATAAAATTTCTCCTTAGTGGGAATGTGCAAGTCCCTACGTAGGCTGCGCACCTGATGCGCAACGTGCATCACGCACTTCATCTGCATCTCGAGTTCTGGATTCCGAAAGTGGTCCTATGAAAAACAGAATCAAACGAAATGAACAGGACACTGATTAATGCATGAATTTTGAGAGTCCACAACGAAAAGGAACGTACATTATGTGAAACTAATAAACCTGCGACTTATATGTTACAGTCGCGCCACTTGCCCCTAAATGCCCAAGATGTTATTTGGGCAGAATACAGATCCATAGTATTGTATCACATGCGGAACAATGACACAAGACTGCATAACTTTGTTGGATAGCACATGATATCTGTTCGAAGAAAGGGCCGGCGCCAGTACCTCGTGAAAATTCAGAGACGTTACAGTTTAGATTCAGACTTATTAGTTATACTTGTGCGTTACCGTTCAGATCGGTACTCCGTCCATACCGGTAATGACTGAAACTGATTCGATGTTCAGTCCAAAGCGGTAATCTTTCGCAGTGACCGCTTAAAGGCCAATAAATGAAGCCGGAGAGTGGAACGCTTTACTTTTATTTCAAACAGACCCATACGGTCAATAGAATGATTGACTAGTATCGACGTTACGGACCGCGTCTTACGGATCTGGATGAAACGTAAGGTGATCTCTGCCTTGTTCTGGTCGGCCTTCTGGCTCGATGTGTACCAACAACCGCGAAAGACTAAAGGACTTCCGAAATTAGTCACAACCACACTTGTCTTGAATAAGGCCCTTGACACATAGGCCAAACAGTCAGTACTGGTAAGTCATCTGACTCTGCGTTGTGCATAAATAAACAGTGTTCCGTCCTGTTCTTAGTATTAACATCAACGAATGAACGAAATACTCGACCTTTGGACGCATAGATATATATATATCTTCTTCATCTTCATCTTCCATCGCCGCTTCTCCTTTCGGGTCCCGGAGGCACACACGTCAGACAGTGCTTCCAACGTTCCCGACTTGGTGCAAGAGTCTGAGCTTCGACAAAAGAAAAATGCAGTCTGGAACAGATTCCTTCCATATGTTTGCACCAGGTTAATCTTGGCCGTCCCAA